CTTTACATATATACGTTTATAGTATGTATTTAAGATTAGCTTAATATATGCTGCAGCCAAGTCGCCGGAGGCGCATCTGAGCCTGGACCTCGTCTTAGATATAGTTTCATACATGTATAAGTATATACATATGCGTACATATGCGTACAAAGTTACATCGATATATTCCATAATATTATCTACCTTCCCTTAGCGTTGAATTTAATTGTATTTTTTTTTTTTTTTTACAGTTTTTTTTTCAGTTTTTCGTAGCTACGGAGACAACGAATAGTAATTTTTTAACATTTAATAAGCGTAATCCATTCTGTAGTGGGTGTTGTTGCTGTTAAGGGTTTATTATATGGGTTATTTAGGATAAATGTAGCTTAACCTAGATTCTAAGACTATTTACAAAGTTACGTGGGCTTAGCACCCGGATAGATACAACCGGAGTGCTTGGGTCGGCACTCGGCACAGAACCATTTGCCCTGTGGGGCGACCATGATACCAACGCATTCGAAGTGAAACCACTCGATGAGGCAGTTGTCGCCATCGCAGGCGATCATCTCGGAGACCTCGTCGTAGGGGCAGCGACAATAACAATATACCGATTCGCCTTCACGAGCCAATCGAGCCCCGGCCGGCGGACGTATGGGATAGCGAATGTTGTTCGCCTTGAAGTACTGCAGCGTGCTAAAGTCCGGATTGGGCAGCAGTGCTGGCGGTATGGGCTGATTGAAAGCAGTCGTTGCGGGCGGTAATGGTGGAAGTGGTGCCGCCAGCGGTGCAGGCAGCATCACTGGCAGCATGGGCGGCAGTGGCGCGTGAGTTGGCAGCAGACTGGTCACGTTAATCTCGCCACTCTCATCCTCGTCGGAGCTACTGTCGCTACTGTCGCTGGCCGCAGCGCTGGCGGGCAGAAGAGCCGGTCGTATCTTTAGTGTGGGTATGGGCGGCAGCTGTGGCTGCAGTTGCTCCACTTTGGCTGGTGGTGTCGCCAGCTGCTGCTTGGTGCGTTTGACGCCACGTCTGGCGCTGCCGGAGCCAGCTCCGCCTGGTGTAGCACGTCTGTTCCGCTTGCGCGTGCTGCCATTGCTGTGCAAATGCGAATTCTGCTGCGGCGACTGATGGTGTTGCTGATGATAATGGTGTGCCTGATGATGATGATGCTCCCCATGATTACTGCGACTGCGCTGCTGCTTGGGAGGCGTAGGCAAGTCTTCCTTGGCCCACGTCAGCTGTGGCGGCGGCTGCGGTTTAATCAGCTGCATGCCCACCTGCAGAGGCGGCGCCAGGACACTGCTCATGTTCTCATCATCACTTGTATAGCCATAGAATTTATTCGGACGCCTTGTGCGCTTCGAGCGCTTCAGCTGCCCATCGGCATCGGAGCAGCTGCTTCCCTCGCTCATACGTGGCTTCCAGCTTGGCCGATGTATAAGGGGCGTCAATGGAGACTCGGGCAGCAGGTGTTGCTGGTGGGGCGGTAGCAGGTGCGGCAGCAAGTGTTGCTGGTGGTGCGGCAGCAGTGGTGTGGCCATAGCTTCTGCAGTACCCGCCGCTGTCAGGCCCTGAGGCAGAAGCTGCTGCGGCGCCACCATCTGCTCCGAGCTGAACGTTAGTTTGGCTTGATTCATCGTTTTACAGGTTGATTTGCGTTCCCGTTTCTTCTTCTTGTTCTTGGCCACACGCTCCCGCTTGTCCGCAAAGGCGGAAGCCTCCTCAGGCAGCGAGGGCGTCGACGGACGACTGTTCTCCACTATGTCATAGTTGCCGTTGCTATCGTGCAGTTGCGCTGGTTTATGCTCCGAGAGCAGCGCCAAGCGCTTTTGCGACAATACGTGGCTGGCCATCTTCTGAGGATGTGCATCGTAGAACTCCTCGTCAGTATCAGAGACGGACGTCTCGAAGTCGGATTCATTGTAGATCGGCGATTTGGGCGATGGCATCACTGGACGCTCTTCCTCCTCGTTGTTGCTAGTCACATTCACAAACTCCTCGCTCTTGCTAGATTCCTGCGGTCGCTCCGCCGTCTTCTTCGACACCTTCTTAGAGCTCTTTTTGGAGGATTGGGATTCGTTGTCGGAGTCATCATCGCTGGAGCTGCTGCCGCTTGAACTGCAGCTGCAATTTGAACCACACGAACAGGTCGAGCTGTCTGAATCCGAGGTACTAGAACTACTAGAGGTTTCGCTATCGCTGGACGCATTGCCCTTCATAACCTTACAGGACGTCTCATTCGGCGGCTTCTCGGGCGAGGGCGCTGGTGTGAGTGGGGGAGTACGTAGCATTTTGCAGTAATCATGATCGGACCAGGCCACGTGAAGCTTAAAGGGACGGCGCTGCTCTGCAGTTAGCACAACATCCACGTCTATTGTAGTAGCGTCCGCTTCCTTTTTACCCACTGAAGAAGGCTGATTTTGCAGTAGGTTTTTCCATATGTCTAGTACTTCTTGTGGCTCCGAGGTTTCACCTATTGATTCCTCCACTTTGGGCTTTTCTTTTGCAGATGATTCCACTTCCTCTTTCGGACTCTGGAGTGAGTCCATCTGCTCTTGTTTCGGCTCTGTCTCTGTTTTGATAGAATCCGTATTCGCCTCTTGCTCCTCGTTGTCGCTCTCAGATGACGGCGACAGCATAACCCGGGGCATGTCCAGATCGTCCACAGATGCACGTATTGGCAAAGAGCCATGGGTATTGGACTCATACGGCTTGGTGAGGCTGCGCCCTCCATCCGAAGCGCTGTCATCGCTGCTATCCGACTCAGACAGATTTGGCGCTCTTAGGTTTAGATCCTCCAGCGAGGCTTTGTTGCGCTTTGCCTTCTTGTGGCGCTTGCGCGGCGCCTGCTCCTGCTGTCCTTCCAACTGCTGAGCTGGCTGCGGAGATTTATCTATTTGCTTGGCTGCCGGCTTTGCATCTGCTTCATCTATTGTCTCCGAATCAGGCGTGGACGATTGCACGCACTCGGCTTTTAGCTGCGCCTTTTTTTTATCAAATTCAAACTGATCGGTGTCCAATGCACGCTGCTCCTCCTGCTCCATCTTGGGTATTTGATTGCAGCAGACAGCATCCTCGTTCTCCTCGTCGGCGTCACGTACAGCCGGCAGCTGCTTCACCTCATGCTGTGCTGCATGCTTTAGAAGCAGCTTCCGCGAGACAAATTTCTCTTCACAGTGCTCCTCGGTGCAGGGATATCGAAAGTCGCCCACATGCTGACGTTTGTGCACCTCCAGGTAAATGGCTTTGCTGAATATGAACTGGCATTGCTCACACGTGAACTGCGTAGCAGGCACGCAGAAATGGTAGACGTGACGCCAGCGCTTTTGGAGGCATCGCTTGCAGGTGATGCTCTCTGTGCCGTGCTTCCAGAATAAATGTTTCGATATGTCCTGCTTGTTGCGATACGCAATCCCACAGCGATAGCAAAGGTGCAAGAGCTTGTGCTTCCACACATGCGCTGAGAGCTTGGCCTGCGTGTGGCAGTCCTCTAGGCAGATATCACAGGCCTGGTGCTGCTTGCGCAAGTGAACCATGAGTCGGAACGCGGACGCCAACGGCGCAGTATCGCACAGGCAGCAGCGGAACTGCGTATCATAAGCAGTGTTCGAAACGCGACCCGGGCATATGTGGCACAGCAGTTCGCTGAAGCTGTAAAAGTTCAGGCGGCACATGCAGCACGAGATGTTCGCCTTGATGTGCAGCCGCCGATTGTGCGTGTAGAGCTCCTTGTGTGTGGCCGTCACATAGCGGCACTGGAAGCACTCATAGATGCGCTCATTGAAGGGCTGTGCGAAACGCCCGTCCTCCAGGCTGCAGCAGCTTGCGGAATTCATGTAATGATCGCCCTCCAGGGCAGGCAAAAAGCTTTTTAGCTTCGCCACAATTGTCTGCGGCTGCAGCTCCTCGGCTGTGATGCTGTCCACAGTGGCAGTAAATCGATGCACGCCAATCAGATGCAACACCAGCTGCTTGACGTTTACGGCAATGCGACGCGCGTGATTGCAATATAGGCAATATGGATAGAAGGCCTTTAGACACAAACGTATGAAGTCTACCATTTCGAATTTGTCCAAGGGTCTGTCCAGCTGTAGATCCACTGTGTGCGTGTCTTCTCCGGCAACCTGGATGCCGTCTGCGGGCACCGGAAGAGCTGCGGGGCTGGCCAGATGCACAGGTTCAGGCGCGACTGGCTGTTGATGCTCCGACTGTTCCATTTGAGCCGATTGCTGTGGTTCGTTTAAGCTGTCATCGAGATCCATGCACTCGCTGCCCAATGTATTGCGGCGCTCAAGCGCAGGCACTGGTGAATTCTTTGCTGACGCAGGCTGCAGGTTGGCCTCCACTTGTTCTTTTGGCACATGCGTCGTTTCGTCTATATGATTGTGATTATGCGGCGAGGCGGGCGGCGTCAGAGACCAGCGACCACGCTGCTGCTTTGCCTCAGCTGGCAGCTGCTCCTGCTGCTGATCTTGCCGTTGCTGTTGCTCCAGCTCGCGCTGCAGCTGCAGCTGTTGTACTTCTGGCTGCTGTTGTTGTTGTTGCCGCTGTTGTTGTTGTTGCTGCTTTTGTAGTTGCTGTTCTTGTAATTCCTTTTTCGCCACAATGAGGGCCATTGTGCGCTCGATGTCAAGTTTTGTGCGCTCAAATTCCGCCAGAACATGAGGCAGTTTCAGAGAAGGCGAATCCTCATCGTCGTCCTCCAGCTCGTTTAATGATACGTCGGCAGGTACGGGCGCTGTCTCCTGAAACATAGAAGCCGTCTCGGTGGCTGTTTCAGTGTCCTCCGACAACGAGGACACTGGGTGTAATTGTTGYTGCTGCTGCTGCACTGCATCCTCAGTGAGCAATGGCACTGCAATACCCTCGCCATCGCCCGTTGGCGTGTCTGCTGCTGATGGCAATTCGTCGTTGTCCTCCTCCTCGGTGTCTGTGCTGCTTAGCTCCGCATCCACGGACTTCTGAAACTCTTTGGGCACTCGCAGCATCATCTTCGGCACCACCAGCTTGGGCGGGGGATCTTCTTGAGGCGCATCTGCAATGGGCGCTGGAACTTGAAATTATTGGATCGTTATTGAAATTCTTTTTCAACAGATTAAAGTTCGGCTTACCGTTGTGATCGGTTACAGTCGTCGGCTGTGTCGGCATTTGAAGCAGCTGCGCGGCAATCTCCATCCCATTCGACTGCTGCTCCTGCTGCTGTTTGTTTGCTTTTAGGTGTTCCTCGGACGGCTTAGCTGCCGGCCTGGCCTTGGCGGTCCTGCGTTTTCGTCGGTTAGCTGTCTTCTTGCGATTGCTTCTGGCATTGGAGATGGTGCTGCCATTGCGACATCCATTGACATGTCCTCCTTTTTGCCCGCACAACGCACACGGCTGCATCAGCTCGGCGCAGTCGTGATCCTCAAAGCGGCTGCCGCCCTCAAAGCTCGCTTGACAATTGCAGCAGACCAAAAAGCGAGCACGGTCCTCCTGAGTCTGCAGCGCCTGCCACGCTTCGACACTGGCAAAGTGCCGCTGGTCCATGTCATGCTTGTTCTCTAGATGCAGAGACAGTTTCTCCACGCTGGCGAACACGTGCGAACAGTAGAGGCAAATGTAACGATGGTGCACTTCCCGCATGTGTAGAAAAAAGTTCCAACATTGATGTACAGTGCTGCAACGTGCGCAGCGAAAGAAACGCTCCTTCTTTATGGGGGGCGCAGGAGTGGACGCCGGATTGCAAACAGTCACAGGCGCCGATGCTTCTGCTCTTTCTGATGCTGCTACAGGGGATTCTGCTGGTGGCAATGTTGTCTCCGGCTGTGGTTTGCATTGCACTGAATGCGCCTTTAATTGCTGTAAGTTCTTAAATTTGCTAGCATTGCACTGTGTGAGGTCGTTGCAAATTATTGCCGGTGTCTGCAAACGCTGCAATAGCAGGGGAGACGACTGCTGCTTCTCTTCTATGCACAGATGCTTGCTGTTGATATCGCCGTTGTCCGCCCCGTTCCTTCCGCTGTTGCTGCAGCTGCGCCTGCGCTTCATTGCTAGCAACATTTCCCCATCTTGGACCGGCTCGTCCATTTGCGGCTGCTGTTTGCTCTGCTGCTCGCTCTCGGGCTGATCTATGACCAATTGCTGCGATGCGGAACTATCGGAGCTGCTGGTACTGCTTCTCCTGGTCAGTTGGTGCGGCACCTCCTGCTCCTGTTCCTGCTGCTGCGGTTCGTCGTTCTCATTTTCTATCACAGACTGTTGCACTGTAATCTGAGCTTGCTCTTCTTCCCGCTCAGATTCCTCTGCCAACTGCAATTCCTCGACTGTTACATGAGCCCCATTTATTTTTACTTTGGGTAGCACTTCAATTGCTTGTCTTTCCTTAATCAGATGATCACTTTGCTGAATCTCTGGCTTCATCTGGACGTCATCTTCAGCTGTACGACTACCATAAATTTCATCTACGACGTTCTCCGATTCTACCTCAACGTCTTCATCCTCGGAATCAGATTCGATTTTAATTATTTCCATGGGCACTTCGCGCTCAGGTTCTGGCAACTTTGGAGTGGTTTCCTCAATTTTAATTTCAGAATCAAAGTCTTGTGAGGATTCCTCATCATCAGGTATGCTGGCGGGGGAAAGATCATTGATTTTATAGACAGGTAGTGTTGTAGCCTTTGCAGGTGGAGACATTTCCCTATCAACTTCATCAATTTTATACACTGGTGAAGATGCTTCCTCTTTCTCCTCCTCTGTTTCCTCCTTTTCACTGTGGAATTCTTCATCTCTTTCACCTTCTGCATAGTCTACTGCCTCTCGATTTTCTATTTTAATATTTTCGGAGATTTTTAACGCAGTTGAAGATGATGATGAGGATCTTTCCTCCTCCTGCATCCTGAGAGGCGAAGTTGACGTTTCCTCAGTCACGTTCACCTTATGTGTACAATTATCTTCTGTCGGAATCTGCCTAAGTAATGAGATTTCTTCAACATCACTTGGAGAGTTCTCAGCAATCACTTTAATCACAGGCGGCGAGAAGCCTTCTTCATCTGTCATAACTGATGGTAGCGGGCTTTTATCCTCAACTTTTACTTGATCTGTTAAAAATAACTCATTAATCGAAGTAGTTTCAGCATTCACTCCCATCTCCGGCGAGTCCATTCCTCCTAACTCCCCATTCTGTTGGTCATCTTGTTGGTTTGGAGAGCTATTTGGCTTATCCGAGAAGCAGGATTCGCAATCATCGTTGACATTGGCCGCAAGTATGGGACTCGCCTGCTCAACTTTTATGTCGACTAGGCATTTCGTAGCATCATGTGATGTGGAGGGCTCCTCATTAAGATCGTCACTCTCAGCAGTTTTTTCTTCCACTGCACATTCTACTTTCAGACTACTTTCAGATGGGTGCTCAATCGACTCGTTTACGCTGTTTGCCATTGGAAATGCTGGCTCCTCCGACTCTTCAGTGTCCCGTCCATTCTCTTGAGGACTTTGTCGATCATGCTGCTCGACTTTTAGGTTCAGCTCTCGTGAAGAGCTATTCCTTTTATCCTTCTCTTCCAGGTCGCACACATTGATGTGCTCTTCTGTTGTGTCATCCTCTTCACTGGTAGCCGGCGTCGTTTCCGTCTCGCCCTCATGGGGCTCATTGTTAGGCCTGCTCTTTGTTTGATGCTGTTCCAAAGCTTCCATCATCTTTTTGCATTTATGCGCTGCCATGGCAAAGACAAAAGTAAAAATAAACAAAGTTATCGATGCAATCTAATCGATTAATTTATATTTACCTTTGCATGCCGTACAGCGTCGTGCTTACTGTATTGGGTTGCGCTTCTTGATGTCTGAAAGAAATTAAAGTAAACGCAAATGAGTAAAATTTTATTACATATGGACATATTTTTTGCTGAACCGCTGAGATAGCGCAGTTGGCGATAAAAACAGAATGAAGGAAATGAGAGAAAGAAAAGAAAAGAGAAGACAAAAACTAAAATACTTTCAATTCATTCCGACTCCTGCAGATGCTTTGCCAGCCCTGGTGCCGAAAGAAATGCGCACACAAAGAAACGCAGATAATTGAAAATACCAAAATAAATTCCGCAAAATATGCTGCGAAGGAGAAGAAAAGAGCAGGAAAAAAGAAAAAGCAAAACTTCTTGTATTTTATAGAATCTAAAAATAAATTCGCAATTTTTACTTTAAATATTATGCGCAAAGCAAATGCGAGAATAGAAAATTAAACAAAGACTCGAGCACTCACAAAAAAGGCATATCTGTATTTTGTAAGCATTATGCACGCGTCTCTCTTACCTGCTCAAAGCAGCAGCTACCGGGGCGGACACGCAGCAGTATTTACGCGCGCAAACAAATATACACAGAGCGAGAGATAGAGAGAGAAGTCACCACAACCGACGGCACGGACGCTCGCTGCACAACTGAGCAAGGCACGGCTACGGAGCGCCCAGCGGAGCGGCGGCCGCGCGTTTTTTTTTTTTCTTGACAAGAACAACACCCCTTGCCTTGCGCTTTGCCCATCTACACCTTCCACTTGTGTGTGGATTGGCCAGACATTAGCCTCAGCGCTTATACAATTTATGCTTTATTTTCTAATACATTTGCGCATTCGGCTGCGTAATATGTGGCGAAAAACACGCGGGCTAATTTCACAACGAAGCGTATTTGCTTACCGCACACAAATTTTGTTGGGCTTGCTTTAAATTGTAAGCATAGGAAATTTTTTCGCACGTCTCATTGCGCTGTGCATTTTTTGGTCACTCTTCATGGGCTTTTTATTTTAAGCTCACTCTTTGTTTGATTCAATGATTTCGGCCATTGGCAATTGACTTGCATTTACTAATAGTAATGTATACAATTTGTGTATTTACTATTATTGTTGCTGAAATATCGCGAGAAAAGCAAAATTCTAGCAATTTTATCGACGTTCGCAGCCACTGAACACGCGCAGAAGCCTAGCGATGCGTAATGAGACGATAACAGATAAAGCACGCTGTGGTGACTGTCCAAAAGCAACACTAAGCAGCAGCGTCCCAATGCAACACTGCGCAAATTTTTTGGGTTCAGTGTAAATTGGACATTGATATCTCTTTCCGTTTCCTTTTTCGCGTGAGCCGTCATCATGAGAGCCAAGGGATTGGTTAGTATTTAATAAGAATAAACAAAAATCGGTGTAAATTAGTCTAAAAATGTGTGCAACAAGCTATCGAACATAGCGGAAAATCAGTTTAATTTATAAACTATGAAAATGGGAAATAATGTGCAAGAAAAACAATCGCCTACTGGAATGCAGCACTATTAGCAATGCGGTCGTCATGCTTCTATATGACGAGTTTTCTTTTATAGTATTATTTGAGCTATTTTTATTGAAATAAAAGTATTTTCTGATATACTATTGGTATTAGTAGTTGGTTATTAAAGATTTACGCATAACCTGTGTAAAAAAGATTTTAGTCCACGCGCATTTGTGTTTGTGTGTATGGACTACCTGTGTGCCGCATTTGTTTACATAAAAATATAAAAATCTTAATTTATTAACAAATTTGTTTGCTTGCAGTTGAAGGAATACGAGGTCGTTGGCCGTAAGCTGCCCAGCGAGAAGGAGCCACAGACGCCTCTGTATAAAATGCGTATATTCGCTCCTGACAACATTGTCGCCAAATCCCGTTTCTGGTACTTTCTGCGTCAGCTGAAGAAGTTCAAGAAAACCACCGGCGAAATCGTCTCCCTGAAACAGGTATACGAAACGTCGCCAATCAAGATCAAGAATTTCGGCATATGGCTGCGTTACGATTCGCGTTCGGGCACACACAACATGTACCGCGAGTACCGTGATCTGACCGTTGGTGGTGCCGTCACACAGTGCTACCGTGACATGGGTGCTCGTCATCGTGCCCGCGCCCACTCCATTCAAATCATCAAGGTGGAATCTATTCCAGCCTCGAAGACGCGTCGTGTGCATGTTAAGCAGTTCCACGACTCCAAGATCAAGTTCCCACTGGTGCAACGTGTTCACCACAAGGGCAACAGGAAACTGTTCTCGTACAGAAAGCCAAGGACCTATTTCCAGTAAAAAGTGGAATACCCCGACCGAGATCAACTGGGATGGACGACGCACTACGTGCGTTTACCACTTGGTTTTCACGTTTTTAAGGAGCAAGTCTTTCTAAGTGATTCTTTCAATAAAATGAGTACGTTGAAGAGTAAAATCATTTGTGTATTCATGTATTCATAAGAGTGAAAACATTTGTATATTTAATGGGAGGGAGCAGAATGTGAATATGATGTAAATATATGAATATATAAAAAAAAAGGTGCCGGCGAAACATATGTTAAGCAGGCAGTGGGACCAATTTAAAAGCCGCAGTAAACAGTGTTCGGTCAATGGATTATTCACATTTCATTTTACCCAGTAGTGGTAGTTAAATATGTTTTAATTGTATTTTAGATAAATTTGGTCATTAAGAATTATTGAAATTATTTGACTACAGGGTGACTCAGGTGCTTATCTCCATTCCTCGGGTGGCTAGCGCGAAACGGTCACACTGGCACGGAATCAATAAACTATTCTGGCAGCTGCGTTTCAGTTTTTTTTTATTTTGTTCATCTGTTCAACTATAGATCACAATTTACATCATTACAAGAAAACGCACACATTCGCAAACATGACCGAACGTCGGTTGGAATTGGAGAGTGAACGAATCAGGACGTTTGCACAATGGCCAACCAACGCGCCTGTTCTGGTCGACGACTTGGTGAAGAATGGGTTCTTTGCTACGGGCAACTGGCTGGAGGTGGAATGCAACTTCTGTCACATGCGCATCGACCACTGGGAATATGGTGATCAGGTAGCCGACAGACATCGCGCCGCCTCGCCCATTTGCTCAATGGTCTTGGCCCCCAATCACTGTGGCAATGTGCCCTTAGAATCCGGGGCAGCTGCTGGGGACCACAGAAGCGACTCTGAAGGCAACAGCGTCGTTGATGGCGGCGCAGGGCAGCAAGGACAATGCGCCTGTCCAGATTTGCTCATCGAAGCCAATCGACTCGAAACATTCAAGGATTGGCCAGTTTGTACCCATATTTATGTTAGAAGAATTTGCAATTAATTCAAATCTTTTCAGAATCCAAATATCACGCCACAAGCCTTGGCAAAAGCGGGCTTCTATTATCTAAAGCAATCGGATCACGTGAGGTGTGTGTGGTGCAAAGGCGTCATTGCCAAGTGGGAGAAGAACGACAATGCCTTTGACGAGCACAAACGCTTCTTTCCCAACTGTCCGCGTGTGCAGATGGGGCCGCTAATCGAGTTCGGTGGCAAGGATCTGGAGGAACTGGGCATACAGCCTACAACGACGCCCCAGCGTCCACAATTCTCGTGCATCGAGGCGCGTCTACGTACCTTTGCCAACTGGCCCATTGCGAATATACAGCCTGCTGAGGCGCTGGCCCAGGCGGGCCTATATTATCAGAAGACCGATGACCTGGTGCGCTGCTTTCATTGCAACATTGGCCTGCGCAGTTGGCAGAAGGAGGACGAGCCGTGGCACGAGCACGCCAAATGGTCGCCAAAGTGTCAGTTCGTGCTGCTCGCCAAGGGGCCCCAATATGTGCGACAGGTGCGCGAGGCAACGACAGCATCCCCCACAGCGGCCACAGCGCCAGAGCTACCCACCAGCATTGGCAGCGCCATGTCGGCCGCTCCGGCCTGTGCGGCTCTGGCTTTGGGCATCGATGTGGGCGTAGTGCGGAGCACCATTGCCAGAAAGCTTTCGAGTTCGGGCTGTGCCTACGACACGCTGGACGATCTGTTGCATGCCATATTCGATGACGCTGGTGGCTCTGGCGCTGCCCTGGAGGTGACAGAGCCAACGGCTTTAAATCCAGATAGTACTGGCTGCGAAGCCACGACGAGTAAAGCGGCGCCTATGGGGCCTGTCAAGCCGCAGGCTGTTGACCCAGCAGCCACCACTGCTGTAGCTGCAGCAACTCCTGCTAGAGTAGTTACCACGTCCAATCCCAATGGCAATTTGTCCCTGGAAGAGGAGAACCGACAGCTTAGGGATGCGCGCCTGTGCAAAGTGTGTCTGGATGAGGAGGTTGGCGTGGTATTCCTACCATGTGGACATTTGGGTGAGTTACAGTTTTGATCTTCTTCGTACACTTGGTAACGCTTCTCTGGCTCTTCCTGCAGCGACCTGCAATCAATGCGCGCCCAGCGTGGCGAATTGTCCAATGTGTCGAGCGGAAATCAAAGGATTTGTGCGCACCTTCCTCTCCTGAATGTCACCTGCATATCCCTAATGGAAAGACCTTAGCATAATTAATGTATACTATGTACTTGTACCGCCTAGGCAACTGAGCAACTGAAGAAGGGCGGTGGTGGGCGTGCCTGTCAGTTGGTTTTATAGTTTGTCTAACTAATAGCTAACGCACTTTCAAATGTTACTAACTGTGTCGTGTGTCGAATGTGTAAGTGTATTATCAGTTTTTTGTTCTTAAAATATTGAATCAACTGTTTACTGTTTTAAATATCCTCTCACGAATTGCGATCGATATGTTGTATATAGATTTATGCCTTGTTACATTTTAAATTTATGAATTGGATTGAATAGGCAAAATCTATTTGTTGTGAGCTTGTATATCTACATATATCTAGATCAAATCGTTAACTCCCAGTTAGCTAGTTTAAATATATTTATCATGCACCCCTTTTATGACTACATCTGTTAGAGTATTTTTAGAAAGCGCAAAAGTGTTTATATCTTGTTATTCATCGTCTTGAAGAGCCAATTACCTTTTGCTATCTATAAAAACCAAATGTAATTATTGATAAATATATATAAATGTTAAAAAGGTATTTATTATTACGACTCTATCAGTATAATCAAAAAGTTTTTACGATTGATTGTTAAATATTTCAAATCGGTCTTAAACTATTAGTTTTTAAATAACTAACCTTTAATGAAAACGTGAAGCACAATTTGGTTATAAATTGTAATAGAAATTAATAAGTAGTCTAAAAATTTGAATTCACTTTGCGATTGCCATTTAATTTGATTTCTTTTTAAATACTACAGAGGTCACTACATTGCCCACCTTGCCTCCGAATTTGAACGTGGGCGTGGGTATAGTGCAATGCTTGACAAAGACATGTTCAAAGCTGTGCAGTAACTCCTCCTCCGTCCAGTTGCAGGAGGTGATGATGAAGAGACTTTGCTCATTCTGCAACAGTTTCGAAACTGTGGATAAATAGCTGTTGCGTTTCTCCTTGGGGTCATCGGGGCACAAACTGACAGCATCGTAAGTACCCTTGTCATGAATGATGCTGTAGGTACCCAGAGCCAGAGATTCGCTTTGGGTTAAGTCCGCCACTTTGTAGTTTATGTCTAAAGCTTGGTCCTTGGCTATGCCCATGGCCAGCTCGATTGCCTTTGGGGAGTAGTCAACTCCCGTTAACCGTGCGAAGCCTTCGTTGGCTAAGGCTATAAGAAACATGCCATTACCGCATCCCAAGTCAAGGACACATGCTGTTTTCTTGTCGATATTTTCCTGTTTCAAGAGCCAGTCGACAATTCGTTGTTGAGAGTCTTCGTCAAACCAAATTTCACCCACATCGCCATGGTTTTTATAGTTTTTAATTTCTCGTGCATAGCTGGTTTCCCAGTATTCCCTTGTACCTAATTCCGACCCCTCCAGTTCCATTTTAATTTTTTATTTGATTTGGGTAAACAGCTGTGTTTCTACTTAGCATGTTGCTATAATGTTATTAACAGCTACACGTGTTATCGTTTCGGAATCGATGTATTATCTACTTTGACGGCGTATCGATCTACCGTTTCAAATAGTAAAGAATTCGCTTTGGGACACAAATATTGTTTAATAATGCATTATTTTTTAATATATTTTAGCACTGGCTACGTTTCATATATTACTAAAACTTTCCAATTTCAATATTTACCGAATAAAATTCGTTTTGATGTTAATGCTAATTAATTAATAATGTATTATCGATAAGTTACAGTTTTAGAGTAATTGAACGCTGGTAACAGAATTTCTAAAAAACGTAGCTTTGCTACGAGCGCTTGCATTAACAATGTTATTATCTGTTATATGGCTGTTATATTTGTTAGTGAAACTCGTCAGTCGACTGTTTCTAGATGAAGTGGACGTGTCTCGCGCGTTTCGATCTTGGGATGAATATGAAAAGAAGTGCTCGCGATAATTATTTTGTTTAGTTAAGCTGATGTTTCTGCGTACCGGACGCAAAAATAACGCAAAGAATTGTGACAGATAATTTTAGAAAAAAAAGATAAACTAGATACAAGATACCAAATACGCGTGTTCCTCTGCGTTTATGTGTGAGTAATATATTATACACACATTTGGGTGCGTGTGTGCATTATGCTAACTGCTTCTACTAAGTATGCGAGCTCGAGCGTGAGCGAGATAGTGAGTGAGAGTTAGAGTGCAACATTGTGATTGTGTGGCAAGAAGAAGCAGAAGAAGCAGCGGCGGCAGCAACGCCAACGCGCTCCCCTTTCCATTGTATCTATATGTGTGCGATTGGTGGTGCCTGTTACTCTTGATAAGTTTCGTAAATTGACGCCACGAAAAAATCTTTACAAAATATTGTACTCTCCAGAGTTTTCGTTTCGAAACGAAAAATACACACATACGTCACGTATCTCTATCAGAGATGCCTGTGTGTGTGTGTATAAAGAAACACTTATA